AAATCCATAAACGATATCAAAATTTTGTAAGAGGCAAAAAATCTTCTAAAATAGTGCTTATTTTTAAAAATATAAATTCTGTCGTCATTGGCGTACATACAAAAAAGTTACGGGATAGCCAGTGGCGCACAGGCACTAGAAAGAGAACATCCTGTATATGTATTCTCACCAAATTCTATATTTACATTGCCCTTATATAAAAAAATATGTGTACCAAATTTGAAGTTTATAAGAAAAACAGTTTTCAAATTATTTGAAAAAACTAGGTTATCTGTTCTACGTTTAGAAGGCTATATCTCAGTAGGCGTGCACTTTTGTATATAGGTAAGTTAGGCTAAATAGTCTTGTTTTCATCCAAGGAACCTGTGATCAAGCGTTGTCCATCCTTTTCAGGGACACCCTGTATATAATTTACATCAAGTTTCTGGATATACAACAGTTCTGTTATGGTTTCGAATTTTGATACAAAATACAAATTTCTTCGATGCTGGCCATAAAAACATATAAATACAGGGTCGGAAAGTCCCCATGGTTCATTCCGCCGTTACGTGAGGGCGATAAAGTAAGTCATAGAAATCCGTGCGATAGAGAAAGATGGCTATAACGAAGGCGTCTAATAGTCACCGCCCATTTCGCCCTTCCACAAATAAGAAGTGGATCTTATTTGTGGAAGGGCGAAATGGGCGGTGACTATTAGACGGCTTCATTACAGATATCTTTCTCTATCGCACGGATTTCTATGACTTTCTTGATCGCTGTCACGTAACGGCCGATGAACCATGGGGACTTTCCGACCCTGTATATTCTACAACATCGAATAATCTCAAGATATACATATGTATAAAAAAATACACTGTAAAGTCGTAAGTCCATTGACATATAGCTGTAGATATTTTATTCATGAATGTACAGGGTATTCTTACAAATATAATTTTGTAAAATAAAATCAAAAAGGAGGGGAAACGTGTACAAAACGATCTCTCTAAGGAAAAACTACCACAAAATTTATGTTTTCTGCATTTACATCAAAAACCATTAATTTTTTAATAGTAACATTCACTAGCTTCTATTTCATGAGAGGATCATTTGTTTATCTGTAAATGACAAAGTTCTAAGAATAAAAATTTCCAACCACACTAAAGGATCATTTTGTACAGCGGGATGTACAAAATGATCCCATGAGGGTGGACAAAATGATCCACAAAAACATTTTTGACCCTGGTCTTTAATTGAATAAAACAAACATGTACAAATGCAAATTTATTTAAGGCCTTAACAAAAACAAAATATATAAATATTTACATCTGGCAAAATTTTTATAAAATGTCGATTATCTCGAAAACGGTTAGATTTAGCTACAGGCAAGCTTTAACATTTTAGATTTATTTTTAATTTATCTTGTCGATAATGCAATAATTATAGGGTCCAATTAAAATAACGAAGTTGACACCTATTTACGGTATAACCGGAAGTACAATATTAATGGCATTATTTTCAATGAAGAGAGCATATCTGATAACCCCGGTAAACAAAATTTCAGAGTCACACTGTCTTCGGTTCCTCTGAAACGTCTAATAGGCCTCTTACCGTGAAGAATATAATAAAATTTTTGATACGGTTTTGGTTTCAAGGTCAACTCTTCTATATTTTCTAAAAAAGCGCTACTCTGTAAAGTTGTAAAACAACTAGAATATCGCTGCAGAGATCTAATCCACATTCGCGAAATGTTCTCCCGGTAATTGAATGTCTGTAGCACGTCAAATACACAAGATAACGATTTAATTTAACCTGAAATTAATCTGAAATTTGTAACCAGCAGCGAGGCGCAAGCCGCTAATCTCTGCAGCCGACTTCCGCCTAAGCCTGAAGAACTCTATGAGCAATTACTCATACGCTGGAACGTCTGATGCCTATCGTGTATCGAGTAATAAACGCTCATAAGAAAAGGAATAAATTTAACAATCTGTAATTTTCACCGAGCGTAACATCCGGTCTGACACGTTTAGGTAAAAATTATGTCTGGACTTTAGGAACGTTCTCCCTATGTAAGTATAGTTAACCAAAGAAACACTTTAGACTAAAATATAGGTATCCGTTGTTTACACTGCTTTTTTTAGATGTTAAATATACATGTATATTTTTTGTAAAACGCAAATTACTTATTCTGGAAATAATGTGAAACCAAATTTCTTTGCAATTTCCCGTCAAAAGTTTGATAATGAAAGATACCTACAGTAGTTTCAATTACTTAATATTTTACGGTATCATTTTGGTAAACATATTAAAGAAACGTGCCTTGAATTCATTCAAAACCTTGGCAAAAATGTTGTCTAACTAATACCTTGGTATAGATTAGGTATCTACAGTGTTATTCTAGTTCTTCAAGAAATACATCTACAGTAGTTTCAATTGCTTAATACCTTATGGCGTCATTTTGGTAAACATATTAAAGAAATGTGCTTTGAATTCATTCAAAACCTTAGCAAAAATGTTATCTAACGATAACCTTGGTATAGATTAGGTATCTACAGTGTTATTCCCGTTTATCAAGAAAGATACCTACAGTGGTTTCAGTTGCTTAATAGGTATCTTACCGTGTCATTTTGGTAAACATGCCTTGAATTCATTCAAAACCTTAGCAAGAATATTGTCTAACTAAAACCTTGTTATATGTTAGATATCTACAGTGTTATTCTAGTTCTTCAAGAAAGATATCTACAGTAAACATATTAAAGAAACGTGCCTTGAATACAGTCAAAACCTTAGCAAAAATGTTGTCTAACTAAAACCTTGGTATAGGTTAGGTATCTACAGTGTTATTCCCGTTCATCAAGAAAGATACTTACAGTGGTTTCAGTTGCTTTAATACCTTACCGCGTCATTTTGGTAAACATATAAAGAAACTTGCCTTGAATTCATTCAAAACCTTAGCAAAAATATTGTCTAACTAAAACCTTGGTATATGTTAGGTATCTACAGTTATATTCTAGTTCTTCAAGAAATATATCTATAGTGGTTTCAATTGCTTAAACATATGAAGAAACGTGCCTTGAACTCATTCAAAACCTTAGCAAAATTGTTGTCTAATGAAACTTGGTATGCATAACTAAAATTTGGAGATTATGTACATGCGAGATTACAGTTGCTTGATAACTTTAGCGATTTTTTTGTAAACATCTAAAAAATATGGCTTGAATTTATTCTAAAAATGTTACAATCAAAAACTTGATATACAGGGTGTTAATTAACCCGCTCGGGACGCCACTGGACTTAATAAATCTAATCAAGTTAGGGTTAAATTAGCTCCGTAAATAGCAATTTTTTTACAAAAGTTTAACACCCTGTATCTTCAAAACGAAGCATCTGCTGACCAATGTTTATATGAACTTTTTGTCTTAAAATCACTCAAATAATCGTCTGTTGAATTTATTGTACATATTAATTAACACCCTGTAGATTACATACACATCTGAATTCCCCTTTGGCGTATTTTTGGTAAATATTTAAAATATCGCATTAATTTTATTCGAAATAGCAGCAAAAATTTTCATGCCAAAAAAGTTGATCTGGGCGAGATTTTTACGGTGATATACCACTTGCTTTACAATTTTGCGTAATCTTTTCTGGTAAATAACTAATAAATATGTCATCAATTTATTCGAACCTATGTAGCAATATGTTACATAACCAAAAAATCTTACATACATTAGATACTTGCAATAATATTATATATGGCTTTGACTTTATTGGAGACAGTAAGAAAAATATAGTATGGTCAAAGATTCCACTTTTTTTCCGTAAATATGTAAATACATAAGGTACGTTTCATAACATTCTATTTACTTTATTTTTACCTACTTTACAACGCTTTCTTGTAAATATCTAAAAAACATGTTGAGTTTATTCGAAATGTAGTGAAAATAACGATGAATTTAAATTAATCTATTTCTCCTGTAATTTAAATGTAATAAAATCAAAAAATTTGTATATTCTTACCTATAAAAGATATTTCTTTGCTGGGATGGATTATTTGACCTTTGAGTGGTAGAAACACAAAGGGTATTTGTTGAGAAGTTGACCCACCGACAAATGGAGCTAGGACACATTCTGAAAAAAATTAGAAATTGTTATATATTTTTGAAACGTAGCTACACGGATTGCAAAATATTTGTAATGTTTTGTTTTAAATGAGTGCAAGTAAAATTCACTTTTGTTTAATTTAAAATATTCTTATTGCTATTTTTAACCAACAGGAGCAATTTTATATAATAATTTTCTCATTATCGACATTTTAACACAACAAATTTGTTTTTTTTTTTGCAATAGGTACTACTAAACAAATAAATAGCAAAACTATTATGTCTGAATAGTGTTTGTATATTTGGTACAATGTTTAAAAATTCTCTAGCACGGAATGGTAATCTTGCAACACATGACACCTTTATATTTACATAACAGACAAGTATTTTAATGTATTCGCCAGCACAGGACCATCGGCAAGGTTTGTAAATCATTAAGTCAATGTGTCAGTAATCAAACGGGCAGTTATACATAATTAACGGTACCGTTTTTAGTAGTTATTTTAGCATATTCACACTGAATTGGCCTGGAGGTAGAATGGAAATAGCCTGAGATGGTTTATTCTAGATCGTTAAGCTATTATTGTAAAAAAAAATAATGAAATTCGACATTTTTCAGCTCTTTCGAAATTCAAGTTTTGAGATTTCGTAATTATTTTAGCCTTTGTGCACACTTTAGGCAAAGTTATTAGCCCTGACGCCAATAAACTTGTACTTTTGTCACTCTTTGTACAAAGTAACTGAATTAGAAAAACTGTTCGAGGAGTCATATAATTTGTTTTTCAAGAGTACTAGTTTTTCAAATAAATTGCTGGCCTACGTTGGCCATATGACACCGAAGAATCCGAGCATCTCCCAAGAGTTCAACAGGCTACTACTATAATCAATTGCAGTTCTGATTGCTTCGCACAACTCACAGGGATCTCATCTGGCATCTGCCGAACCCGTTACCACTTTCGACGCGATACATCTCACATACACTCGATAGAAAAATATTCACGGTGTAGATACCTTGGGAAAAATCTTTTTTACAGTACAGGGTGTTTCATAACTCTACTGACACAGAGCAGGCACGTGTAGAGGATCTTAAAATATACCGATTTGTTATGTAACATTTTTTTCTGGGATGTACCGTTGAAGAGATATTGGCCTCTGAAGATGAGTGTTAACTTTTGAAAAACTATAATATTTCAGCAATGCCGTAACATGGAGCAACCAAATTTGGTTCATGATTTGCGTTTATTGTTATCTTTAATTGGCAAAAATATGAAGTTGTTGGAAGCCCAGTAAGGGCCGGACTAGGGGTAGGGCGCCCTTAAAATGATATCGATTTTTTATCAGTTTGCCAATTATTAAATAGTTTTACCAGTTTTAAAGGAAATTTAATTTTAAAAATTTTTGTATTCTTACATATTTTTCGAAAAAATAACAGTTTTTGAGAAAATCGGTATTTTGTGAAACAGCGTAATTACTAATTGAATCGGACAAAGAGTGAAGTATGAAGTTTTACAGCTATAGTAGGTTATGATTTCATGTATCATTTTTGACGGAGCGAAAATTATATTCGTATGATTGGTTGTTCACAAAGTAAAATACTTACCATTAGTATCCCAACAATTTCATTGTAAAATTGTTCTCTATGTTGAAAGTGACATGATTTCACCGTATATGAACGTAAATACAATAACTGGGATACATCGACGAGGTTTGAGAAGCAGTTTTTATTAAGCGTACGATCAAAATAACCAGCAGCTAACCGGAAAATAATTAAAATGCCGGTTTCCTTCTCTACGAAGAGAACAGTTAACACTTTTTAATATTCCACTAATGACAATGACTGAACATTTGTGCGTTTTAGAGTGTGTTTATTATTTAGAGCAGAACAAATAAGTTAATTGGCGTTTGCATGGAGATGTGTACGATATTCCATCTTTTGTTTTGTAATGATATCTTGAATTCATAAAGAACGTGATTAAGAACAAAGAAGACGAAAGAAAATTAATACAACTTTGAATATGAAATTAGAACAGTGCAGCAATCTACCAGTAATTGATTTTAAACAAAATATAGGGGGAATATCGATGAAAAATTGTAGCAGAATACCACCTCATTGTCACAATCAAATCGATCAACGGCTGACTGAAATGTTTGAAGATGAGACGCCTAGGCAAGTGAGGTATCCCGACCTCACTCCATTAGATGTTTATGTTTAGGGAGTAATAAAGCAAAAAGTTTAAGTAACACTTTACAACTAACAAAGTAGAACCTGCAAAACAGCATTATAAACAAATTGTCCCAGGGTCAGGCAAAAGCCGCTCGGAATTCGTTCTTTTTGCATTAAGTAGAGTTTATTTTTACGGTAATTAAAAAAAAAACGAAATCACCAACACCTATTTCTTCCCAAGACAGCTTTTTTTATGTAACGTTAATTGTTAATCAACTATTGGACCGGGATTTTAGAGACAAATAAAGAAAGGGTTAATTTTTTATTTTCTCGTCGCGCCTGAGATTTTTTACTTGAGCGCTTCAAATTCTTTTTAACATTTCAGCTTTTTCTTATCATTTTGACGTGTAGAATCCATTCCTGGAGTTTGGTGCGTTTCTCCCGATTCCCCCTGTATATCGTATTATTGATTTTAGTCTATATTTCATTATTAGATATTCATATTCGGTTTCTAAAAAACCGTGCCAGGACCTTGTAGAGAATTCATTCAAGTTTCTGAAACCCACCGTCGATTTTCTGTACAACCATTGGTTTCTGAGATATCGATGAACAAAGAGAAAATGATCCATTTTCATTCAAAGTCCGATAGCTCAGCGAGAAATGGTCGTATCGAGACAAAAGAAAAAAGAAATTGAAGCTAAATGAACAACCTATCTAATCCATAAGGTGGTTAAGTTGGAAAAAATTTTTTTCGTACACCAAAAATAAGATCGAAAAAAATTTCAAAAAAAATGGGAAAAAATTTTTTTCAAGATATTCATTAAGATTGCGCGATACGTGTTACTTGAAAAAATTTTTTTAATTTTTTTTTGCAAGATCCAAAAATTAGAATCTTCAAGCTTCAAATTGCTTTTTTTTTACTCCAATACGACCATTTTTATCAAAGATACAGCCATTTGAAAAATCGGCGAAAATTTAGATTTTTTTTTGATCCCTTAATTTTTTCCACTAGTGTACTTGTATATCAAATTGACCGGTTGGCTAAACAATTTAATCAGTCATGTAAGTTAAGTAATCGTCACGTATTTATAACAGTTTGAGCTCAAAGCATTGACAAAATTATGTAATTGTTCGTCGAAGGGTAATTTTTCTCTGAACTATTTGTTTATCTCTTGTCACATCTAGTTATGCGATGGCAGCACGCGGAAGTCAGTGACAAATATCCACATCATCTGCCAGTCTATTGCCATTTACAATTTCTGCTTTACGGTACCGGCGAGAGAGATATACGGTTACACCATCAAGTTGTGTATCAGCTTTTAATAAAGTGTGCAGAAAGACAACTGTTGTAACTGTATATCTATAAGGTTGAAATATTAGTTTTGCAGATTTTCGAACTTTTATTATATGGTGACAAATGCAGTGAGAAATCTGCACTGTTATCTTTATGCGGCTGGAAAAAATCGCGACTAGATGCAGAAACAGAATATACAGGATGATCCTACGAAAATCTGATCCTTTTGAAAAGTTACACAGACAGAATTTAAAAAAATGTATTTCCATACAGATGCCCCCTTTTTAAAAACGTTAAATGTAAATATAGATTAGTAATACCTTATTTGAAATTTTTAAATAATTAGCAAATTATGGGTAAACAAAATCTTTAAATTAATGGTATGCTCTAAATTTGCGTTTAATTGTAAAATGTGGAATGTGAGATATCTTTTAGAGAAAATATGAATGTATCTCATTGTCACATGACTTTATTGTAAAAACTCACTGTTTATACAGGCATAAAAGTATGGGAACCCCAAAAAATGTCGCGAGATATGCATTTTCTGAAGAAACCAAAAATAGGGAAAGCTACGATTTTTCCCTGGCTATTCAATGCTGACCATGCCATGGCCACTTGATTTTTTAAATCCTCGGATTCGTGATCAGCGAATTCGAAAACCTCCGTATACAAAATTTGGTGACAATCGGTTAACTTTCAAAAATTTTGTCCGCCATCTTGATTTCGCCCCCATTTTCAAATTTTTGGAATGGTCAAGGTCATATCTGAACGTAAAATTTTCCGCTCTTTCTATTTCCGGGGTCGAAAAGGGGGGTTCCCATTTAAAAAAATCGTATTGATCCCATAATGACCACGTGGTCAGTGATCAGTGGTCATAGCATGGCCATCATTGAATAGTCAGGGAAAAATATAAACTTTCCCTATACTTTTTCCGGAAAATGTATATCTCGCGAGATTTTTTGGGGTTCTCATACTTTTATGCCACACTGTATATAAATTATTGCTAGCTTTAGCTAGGAATTTGATCTGCCTTTGCTGTTCCCGGGCTAGGTTCTATGGGAGCGGGCTCGCTATCAGTACCCGTAGGCCCACCCTGATGTTCATTTCGGTTCTTTTTGTTGATTCTAAGGTCACTATGGACGAAAAAAATTTTCGCCACACCTGATTGTTTACTTATACCTATTAATATTTGCTTCAAATCGACCTTTGTTGATACTTCTTTGATTTGCTGCAGCGAGATTCGAATCAACAGTAGAATACCCTAGATCAGGGGTCGGCAAACTTTTAAGCCGGAAGAGCCATCTGCAATAGAAATATCAATTTCATGAATTTCAAAGACCCACGAATTTTTATTTCTGCTTTTACATTTTATTTCAAATTTAAATCGGATACGGAAGTTTATACGCATCTTTATGTGTACTTGTGTGCTGCTTGTCCGTCCGCTTTAACTTTTAATTTTTACAGGAACTTGAAGAGCCGCAATTGTCTCTCGAAAGAGCCGCATGCGGCTCGCGAGCCGCAGTTTGCCGACCCTTGAGCTAGTACCATGCGAAACATCGCCATAATTTTT